TTAAATATTGGGCTGTCTTATTTAATTGCTCTCACACACAACCTGCTAACGTTAAACCCCTTTCCTATTCAATTAAACACATTCAATGTTTATTTATTGTAAAAGCAATTGGGCTTTTTTAATCACACACACACACACACACACACCCCCCCCCCCACACACACACGCACACACACACACTTCTCCGCCTCATTCCGTTTTCATTTACTCGTTCGTTATCTGACCAGCTTCAACCTTGTAGGCTACTCACTTCGTTTCTTGTAGCCCTCGAAAGGGTTTTGGAGGTTGATGCCTCGCTGAACGTGAGTTGTTTGGCTTTCTTGTCCGCAGCAGCAGAAAGCATTTTCGAATGTTTGAATGAATCAAAGTGGGTCGTCCCCGTCGATTTTCTCTTATGCTCCAACACACAGTTGCACGGGGTGCAGAATAGTTTCCCCCCACTTTTTGCCCGGTCTTTAGTAGAAATGTTCGTCGGTAAATGAGATGGATTAGATTTTTTCATCTTGGTGTTTTCTCTATCGTGTGAGCTCCACACGTTCACTCTATACAGTGTTGTTTACATTCTGTGATGCGCGAGCTGATGACGTCAAGTCAAGACGAGTCAACTTTTTTGTTTTTCAACTTTGTGTGGAAAAATGCGGGGATTATGCGGCCTTTTGATAAATATGCGGCCTTTTAAAAATCTGCGCCATTTTGCTGATTATGCGGTAAATTCTGCGATCGCAGAATCGCGTTTTTCTGGAGGGTCTAATAAATATGTAATTTACAACAGCTGTAAGATGCTTGAAAAGCTGGAAAATGCACCTTGAAAATCCTTGAAAAGTGCTTGAATTTGACTTTGGAAAAAGTGTAAGAACCCTGACTATTGCATCAGGTGCCTAATCTATACTTTTATCCACTGACGAGCAAGATGTAACACCTTCTATAACAGGGGTATTCAACTAAAATTCAACGAGGTCCAGTTAGAGAAAATCTCCCCATGCGAAGGTCCGGAACAACAAAATGTCTAACTTGCTTTATGAATTAGTGTGATATATATTGAAGTAGCCTGTAGCTTTATCAACGTCTGCATGTAATCAACAACTGACTGCAAAATAAAGAAAGAAAATACAATTCAAAAACAACAATATTTATTGTCAATTAACATTGAACTTTACAGATATACAGTAAACACTGTGGATGTGTGTAATGTTCCTCTCGGGCTACATTTAAAAATAAGATCAATAAGATAAAAAAATAAGCTTTTGAAAATATGTGCATCTTAAAAGTGCTCGATTTTAGATAAATAAAGAGTAGCAGCAGCTTGAGTTTCCCGTTTTCTTTGTTAACCGTTTCACATCATGACTTAACAGTTTCAGACGATACAATATCAGTCTTTACACATCATAACAATTGAGCAGTTTTAAAGTTTCTCTTTCTTTCCCTCTTATATTGCAGTCCCTCTCTCACTTTGTTTTGTTCAGTGCGAGAATTGAGCATGAGCTTGTCCTGCCAGGAGTTTAAATCTGGGCTGAAATGGTGTCAGGGCCATTCTCACACACACATGCAGGTGCTCATTGGTTAGCCTCGGGTAGCCTGCCCTGGAACGATATTTATTTTTTGTGACCTCAGTTCTGAGTTGAGAGGGAATGTTTGGTCAAACACTTTGTGTTTTGTCTCATAGTGGCGTTTTGGCACTTTTAATGAGCGCCACGGTCTCTGAACAAATGAGACACACTGGTTCTGTGCTCCCAGTGGGCAGGATGAACATGAAGAGTCCGTCCACTCAGGGTTAAAAGCTCTGTTCTCACTGTCCACTTTCCTCTTCTTGGAAAGCGCCATGTGTAATAATTATTTGTCTCTCCCTGTCTGCCGCTAACACGCCTGTTCACTCTCCTCTTCTCTCCCTGTATCACTAATTATTATCTTCACTCACTTTCCTCTCTGCCGCGCTCTCATCTCTTCTTCTGTGTTTCTCTCCCTGTATCGCTCACTCGTCTTTTTCGCCCCCTGTCGGCGGCGGTTAAAATAGAATCGCCCGTCAAAATTGAAATCCCCTATTAATGTATTGATTATAGGTCCGGGTCCGTATAGGTCGGCGTCCGGATCCGGACCGACCTGTTGCCAACCCCTGTTCTACCCCAGACAGGACATTAGGCACACCCACATTTCAGTTACTCCAAACGACAAACAGTGTACTCGTTCTGTAGAACACGCCCGATCAAGCTAGTTTGTACAACCTGCCATTCAGGCTCTCCTCATATCACTCTGACAGATTAAATACATATTAACAAAGTATACTATGCCGGATCCCTGTTTGGAAAGCTCATCAGTAGGTCTGCACAGCTAATCAAAATAATATCTAAATTGCAATATGGAATGGTGCAACATTCAAGAACAGCCTTATAAATAAAGGTGTGCCATTGAGTCTACGGGTGGTCAAAGCAGACCATCCTACCTGAGCATACATGCAGCAATTGTGTCTAAGGGTTTAAAGTTATGAATGAATAGATCAAACTTTATTTTTGTCATTTTTATTTGTCCTTGTGTGTGGCTCAACCTGTCTTTAGCAGCCAGCAGCCTAAAAGGGGGCTAAGAAAAATATAGCCCACTTTCAGTCTGGAATGTGGACCTTCTTTAATTGGACTGTGGCTCAAATAAAATGTGGCTCACTCGAAGACACATTGTTTATTAGCACATCTCAAGGTCCTGGCTGTTCCTTAAATTATCATCTCCTCTCTTCTCTCTCTTCTCTCTCTCTCTCTCCAGAGTACATCATAGGGTTCACAGGGTATTTCTCGGCCAAAGCTCGCCGCCTGTACATCAGCAGCGCCCTGAGGAACGCCGGGGACCGAGCGCTGGAGTGGCACATCGTCCCCAGAGAGAACCCGGCCGCCGACTTCCCCAGCGACTTCGAGCTGGTCCACATCCGTCTAGCTTCTCCCAGCAGCCTGCTGACCCTGGAGGACCACCCTTACATCAAGAGGGTGACACCGCAGCGCAAAGTGTTCCGCAAGCTCAAATACGTTCCCTGTAAGTCTGACAACATGGTGCGATTGTTTAGGAAAAAGGTCACAGGGTCTCTGAGGTTGGCACGTCCACCCAGGAAATGTTTCACGCTGAGAAGATACAGAAAGCAGTTTGTCTGCTACAGTGTCTCTTTGTTTGTGGAGGCAGAGTATGCATTTCACTGTTTGTGGTGCAGAAGAAAAGGATTGTATATCTTAATGTGAAGGGCAGGCCAACTCTGAGGGTGTTGATGCTAGCCAGGGTGTGTGGTGTTGGGGGATGGGAGGAAGGACAGAGCACGTCTGTCTACTCACCCAAGAAGGAGTAGGTGAGTCAGTGCGGTGGTCTTGCCAAGGGGGGGGCACGCCTTATGCCTGGCACTGGATGAAAGAGTTCAGTGTGCCCCCAGCCTGCATTTGCACAACATATGTGTTAGTCATTTAATTTGGATAGTTATTTGGTTTTTAGATGTTATATTGTTTCAAATATAAGAAAGAAGAAGAAGATACACTTTATTAATTCCTTACAGGGACATTTCTTTCCCTACTCTGTTGTGTTTACACCCATTACACACACAGAGGATATACATGCACACCAGCGTTTCCGCCAGGGGGGCGTCTTGCCGTCATTTGACAGCTCGGGACGCCCTGAACTCGAACCGAGGGCGTCCAAAAATATTAATAATTTGAGAGAAGATCGAGAGTTTTTATCGCTTGAAATAACGAAAAGGAAAAAGGACAAGGACATCCCTCTGTTGGAGGGGCAAAGGAGCCCCCATATACCGTATGTTACGTCCCCCTCTAGGGGTAGAGGAAAACAACGCACACCAGTTGGAATTGGTAAAATTATAAAGGGTTTATTTTAAATAGCCGGGTAAAAATGGCAGGCATGCAGCCTGGAACAAACAAAAAGGCCAAAAGGGCACAGGTTGATAAATAACCAACAAAAGGAGGACTCTAAAAAAGGAGTCTAATCACATACAGGGAAAATAAATACTCACACACTAAATAAAGAACGAAACAAAACCTCACTTTAAAAGTGGTACAACTAACAAAGGAAGGCTGTAAGAAAACACAGCTAAGGTAGAGGACAACAGTCAAACAATACTAAACTAATCTAAGCACATCTAGTCACAACAATACTGACAAACACAGACCACACGAGTTAACCGCTTTTAACAGATTTGTAGACGACTAGCGAGAGGCATCCGCTCACACAGCAGAGCCTCCAGAGTGATGATTGTCCCCAGGCTTTGTAGTCATCTCCAGCAGGTGTGCGGC